ATCTGCCTGTTTACAGCCTCCCAAGAGCTGGGATTACAGGCACGTGTCAGCACACCCAGTCTCAATCACCTTATCACCTCGCCCCCGGGGCGGGGCCAGCACGGCAGTCCCGGGGATGAGAAGCAAGTCATTTTGATAGCAGAAAATGAAAATAACTAACATTACTAATTAACTTATATGTGATTGCCTTTTGAAACGTGTAGCCTAATCATTTGGAGAATCTGTACTTTCTCTTTGAGCACTTTGCAGGATGATAGCTGCGTCAGAAGACACACAGACTTCCTAAGGCATGCCACATGTCTCAGTGAAATCAACTCAACCTACGGGTCAAATGGCTCTTACGGAGGCTCACTAATAACTCAGCAGTTCACCCCACCGCTCTCCTGCCGGTGAACTTAGTTCGCTCTCTCCACTCCCACCGCTGTCTCAGAAACGCTCCGCTGGACCACTGGGGCTGTCAGGCCTTTGCAAAGGGCAGATCCGGGCAGGTCAGGCCTGGGGAAGCCACATCTGGCACCTCGCACTCTTCAGAGAGTCATTGTCTCCCTCTTTTACTCTGGTCTTTGGCTTACAGGATGCTTTTAGGAAGAGTTCTTTCGATATTACAGAAAAATCTTGAAGGAAAACTTTTCTGGAAAAAAAAAATTGTTTTGTTTTTGTTTTTATGAGAAAGAACCTGGAAGTTTCCTTGATTTTAAACTCAGCCTGTTGCTGTATGAAAAGCATTTACCTCCCTCTAGTTTATTAATAAGGACTCTGTAGTGTGCATGAACATTATCCCTGATCTCTTCATACTGAGTGTGCATCTAATCTTCCATGAAGGAGCTGCACAGAGAACTATAGGTGTGTGAGACCTTGGGACCCAAGACGAGCTTTTAATCAGATTTCAGTACTCAGGGAGGTGACCACAAGGTGGCAGCACATGCCAACTGGTGCAGACTCCAGGGAGGGCTCATTTTAGCAAATCCTGAATGGGTATCATTACTGCCTGGGTAGAAAACAGGAGAAGCTACTATAATAGTTAAAGGAGAAAACACTTTGTTAAATTAGAAAAAAAGAGACATCCTGACAATAGAAGTAACTCTGCAGGCTAGAGATTGCTAAGATCTATCCTACTTGGGAAGAACAATGAAAACTTCCACTCATGCTTTATCTTATGGGTGCAGCTGGATTCGGAGGTGAGGATTTGGGTGATGAATGTTTTCATGCCCACAGCTAACTCTACAGAGCTGCAATGATTAGTGCATACAACTTTGCTTTCTACTGATATGGCAATTTCTACTTTACACTAAATGCCATATGTACCCATGAGGATACATGGGCATTACCCCTAGCACTGGCTCCATAATCCACTGCGCACTGTGCCTTTTAGTAAGCGCCAACCTCAGCCCATCACACATGCAGTGGCCGAGTGCAGGAGTTGCTGCAATGAATTTCCTTTTAATACACTCATATATAGCTTTAGATCGAATAGATACTATGTTAGTGATAGCATATTAGAATTGGTTGGTTTAGAAGAAGTTGAGGTTGGGTGAAGCTGTGAGCCAGGATTCAGAGCAGGGTGACGTGACCCAGGCCCACTTCTGTTTCCTGTTTTTGAGCAACTGCTGCAGAACTCAGCAATTCTCTCCTCCCCCACTGCCACTAGGCTTACATCACAGTGCAGAGCACTGAATTTGAAGAGGAAAGACATATTTCCTTCCAGCTGATAAGTGCAAACATGGCTCTCTCTGGGTTGCTCAAGTTCGTCTTGGCTTCCACATGGCTGGGTACGAAGTTCCAGTGGGACTGGGCCTCCTCTGTGACTTGAGGGTGGGGGTACAGAAGTGTCCCACAGCAAATGCAGTAAAAATGATGGTGGTGTGCAAATGTAAGGTTGCCCCCTCTGCATGTCACTAAACTCGCTCCTTCTCTTTTCCTTCAGGATCCAGTATTGCGCAGAAGGTAACTCAAGCCCCGCCACCAGTGTCAGTGCAGGAGATGGAGGCTGTGACCCTGTCCTGCACCTATGATACCAGTGAACCAAGTTACACTCTCTTCTGGTACAAGCAGCCCTGCAGTGGGGAGATGGTCTTCCTCATTCGCCAAACCTCTTATGACCAACAGAATGCAACAGAAGGGCGTTACTCGGTGAATTTCCAGAAAGCAAGCAAATCCATCCACCTTGTCATCTCAGCTTCACAGCTGGAGGACTCAGCGGTGTATTTCTGTACGCTGAGTGAGGACACAGTGAAAGGGTTGTTGGAGGAAGGAGAACAAAAACCCAAGTTCTGCCTGAGGCAGCCACCTGCAGTAGGGACCAAGGCAGAAAGTCACAGCCTCCCCCAAGAAATGGCAGGACTGAGGCGGCAGCAGTGTGGAGGTAGAGGGAGACACTCACCGAGCGAGCCTGTCCCCCAGGCCCCATCTATGTCTAGAGTAAACAGTAACTGCAGACCTGCACATCTAGGGAGCTGTCGCTGGAAGTTAGAGGCAGAATTTTTTTTTTAAATTTTTTGATGGTGTCTGGAATGGAACTTAGGACCTTGTGCTTGTGAGGCAAGCTCTTATTCCACTGAGCTATCTCCCTGGCCCTAGAGGCAGAATTTTGATGGCACATTTCAAAGCAAGAATAGGCACAGGAAAGGATGGCCCTTTGGCCATGAGATCCATCTGGAAACAAAAACTAGCTGAAGAATCTTAGAAGCAAATGACTGACGGACCAGTAGAAGTCTGTATGAATTATTGGCTTTTTTTGGTCAATTCACCCAATAAGTTTTTATTGAATATTAATGTTAGAGACTTTTTAAAATAAGGGAGGTCTTAAACCCCTCGCCCCCACATTTCTGTTTTAAAACATCATAGTGCTTTTACCCTATTGAGTAGATTATTTGGATTGAGCTTTGCTTGCTATGAATGACCCATAATCACGGCTACTTTCTAAAGGCACCTGCTTGGTGACAAGCTTAAGCTCTGAGCTCCTTCATTTCCGAGCAACCTTGAAAAGGAGGAGCTCACCCAGAGTGAAGATTACTCAGTCTTCATCAGCTGCATCCCACAGTGACCCACGACTCGTGGCTCTGACGAAGGCATGTGGTCGGCTCCCCCAAAGAGATGCAGAGCTTTTCTGCACATGGAGGTAAGGCCCATGTTCTCCTACAGTGATCATCATTTTTAATAAATTCCACCTTTCCAGTCATAAGTATTGCTGCCTATTTTACTGTTTCCATTGATCCATTCGGCTCTTTGTGTGCAAATCTCTGTTGGAGATTTGAGATTAGGGTTCAATTGCTGAACATGAAGGGACCCCTGGTTCTGTTGGGAAACCTTGCTCTGAAGTCGGATGACAGCTGAGGCCATGGGCTGCTGGCCCACCTTACTCGAGGGCAATGAAGCTGCCAACCTTAGAGATCAAGCAGTTCTCTTAACTGGCAAAATTTCTTGCTAGAACTCTTAGAACTAACTTCTGGAGCTCCTGCTCGAGTCCCACGCTGCTGCACTGTCGCCTCCCTTTGTCTGAAAGCCAAATAAACACAGGCTATCCTGAAGGCCTTACTTTTGTTCCTAGGAAGTTTTGACTTCTTGGAGCCCCAAACCATACATCTGTTGCTCTTTATGTAAACCATTCACCGGGGCCAGCGAGATAGCTCAGGTGTAGGGACACCGGTTTGATCCCAGGCACAACATGCTGTGCCAGCACCGGCCCTAGGGTGAGCTGACTGGCCACAAAAATAAATAAATAAGCAAGCAAACAAACAAACAAACCAATAAAATCCTGATGAAACTTTTAAAAAAATTCACTGTACACTTCCTTTGGGAGACTGCAGCTGGGCAATGTTGACAGTAAACCACAGTGAAAAGCTTCATAATCAATTGTTGCAAGCAATATTTAAACAATGCAGACCTTATCATTTCTATAAGTTTCCTGGTTTTTAAGAAAAACTTATAATTATTTTTGTTTTATTTTTTAAAATTGTTATTATATTTTTAATATATTTAGTACAGGGTCTCACTACCCAGATCAGACTCATAGTGATGGATTCTTCCTGTTTTTCAGCCTCCCACATGCAGAGATTACAGGCATGCGCAACACCCAGTCTCATTTGCCAGCTCACAGCACTCTGGGGGAGGAGACAGCACAGCAGGCCGGGGATCGAAACCCCAGGACCCTGTGTCTGCCTAAGCAGACCCTTTAATCTGCTGAGCTATCAAGCCAGCCCTGAAAAACTCATCATTATGTGTAATATTTAATACATGGCTTTGATTTAGTTCTGTCATGAGTGACTCGGATCCACTCTCCACAGGCCCCCACTCTGTGGTGAGCTCTGTGCCAGAGCGCCTTCCACACTCCAGATACCTCCAGCAAGGAGGAGCCTGGTTCCCATCCTGTGGTTTGTGGGCATCTTGCCCTTCTCGTCCTGAGGTGATCAATGACAGCAGCCCTTAGAGGTGCTGGGAGAGGATTTCCCAGGAGAGAACAGCAGGACTGAATCTTTAATATGTCAGATTCACCCTTCCACTGAAATATGTTTACACATACTTTATGTAGACCCATTCATCTATGTTTTTCCCTTTATGCCAGTCTCAGAATGGTCATTTTATTATTTGGTAGAGTAAATCACTTCTCTTCTTCAAGAATTTTTCATAATTCTTACACACACTTTTATTTTCCAACATAAACTTTAAAAAGTCTGCTCCATTTTCCATGTATTCACTATGCCTTAAACATGTGAAACAATGAAAAAAATCCTTTAAAATGCCTGAAAACCAGAATGGTGAAATTACATACAATGAATGCAGTAATATATAAAATATCGACTTACTTTTTTTTATACTGGGAATGATGGAACTTGGGACTTTGCACTTGCCAGGCAGGTGCTTATAGCTGGCTATCTTTTATTCAGTAAAGTGTTATTTTTCTCAATTCATGAAAGGTTGAATTTTCTTTAATTATATTTTGACATATTCTTACCTTTATCAACTGAATTTCTGTCAATTTATTCCTACATATTTATTCATGTGCATACATTTCCCATTAAATTTTTCACATATTCATACTTACTGTTATTCCAAATAAAAGAAGGGCTATTATGAATCATATTGGTATAGTAGCTTAGAATTTCTAATATTTAAAGCAGAGATTGATTTGCCACATACCCATACTATCTAGACTCTTTTTTGAGCTCACCACACCTTAAACTGACATCTAAAATGATAGCACAGGGGCCGGTGAGATGGCGCAGTGGAATAAGCACTTCCGTGGCAAGCGAAAGGGTCTCAGTTCAATCCCTGGTTCCATCAAAAAATAAAATAAAATGATAGCACAAAAAATCAATTATCTTTCATAGAGCAGAAATTTTTAATATGGAGGAAATCAGTGACTTCTTCCGTGGGTGTGGCCCTGGTGTCTTATTAGTAACTCACTACCACGTGCAGGCACATTTAGGTTTTCTTCTGGCTGCCCTCTTGGATCTTCAGAACTTTGCACTTCCCTGACAATAATCTACTCCCAGGGGGCAGCATTCTCCTGAAGTGAGACATCCTTAGAGATGACTCCACCTTCTAGCACTGCTGTCCTGGAGGTTACGCTTCCCACACACGAGCTTTCGAGGACACATTATTCAAACTGTGGAGGCATCACTGAGACATTGTCCATTTCAGTGAGCTACAGAGGGCTGGGGAGATAGCTCAGAGGCCTACGTGCCTGCCTGGCAAGTGCAAAGTCCTGAGTTCAACCCCCAGTACCACACACACACACACACACACACATACACACACAAAAAAAAAATCAGTGAGCTACAGTATCAACATTCATAGACAGTTTCCAATGATTTTATTGTGAAATACAACAAATACTGGCAAAAGTATAGAAAAGTGTAAATATACTATCTAAGCATATACAAATTAAGATTATAATACTTGCATACATGTATTTGTACAAATATGACTGCCTGGATCTAGTAATCTTCTTTATCTAAAATTTGTTTTATGGAATTAGGATTATGGGAATTGGCAAACTGCAGATATGGAAAACTTCATTCTTTGCTCAATCATGAAGGCCTTTTATAGATAGAATTTCTTCCCCACTGGGGGAGCTCCATATTTTTTTCTTGAATGCTTCAACTGTTTGGATACTACCAACAACTTTCTTTGGAGAAAAACATGTTTTATTCAGAACCTACTGATTTAAGTATTAATTTCCTCTAAACTGTCATTGCAACGATATCTAGCAGGTGTTAGAATGGGCATCTGGCTGCTCACTTCTCCTTAGCCAAGGAGAGAGACAGGCAATCATCACATCCCCCTACCTCCACTAACTCTGTCTCAAAGCCTAGTTTGTCTTACATAAAGATAATATACAAACCTTCTTTTGATTTTTTTTTTTTGTATTTTAGTAAGGGTCTACAGGGTCTACAGGGCCTCACTATGTAGACTGGACTTGTAGCGATCTGCCTGTGGTCAGCATCACAAAGAGCTGGGATTAAAGGCATATGCCACCATGCCCAGTCTCAGTGGCCTCTCAGCAAGCCCCAGGGACAAAGGTGAGTCAGGGCTGGTATGGCATGCCTGAATGGAACCATGGCCACTGCTTCTGCTTCAGCAGGTGCTTTAATCCACTGAGCTATTTGGCCAGCCCTTCCTTTGATTTTTGACTAGAATATCTTTGTTTGTTTTTTATTTTCAATGTTTCTTTTCATTCAATTGCAAATATATAGTAAGTCCCCATTTGATTGTCTTTGCATTGGAGTTCTATTTCATGGAGAAACTAAGGATGAGGTGAACACTTTCACAAGATTCAACTTTGAGAACTTGCCAGCATCTGAACCCAGATATTCCTGTTCCTCTCAGTAAATAAATTTTTATGAGATCCAAGACTTTGCTGACCCTCGGCACATATCAATGCTTGAGTAGCAGTAGGCCTCTAAAACTATTGTTTGATTAATTAAGGAAAAAATACTCCTCTCCCTACAAGAACAAAAATTCTCATTCATTCATTAAGGTTTATTGCATATCTATTTCTGAGTGGGTCACTTTCTGCAAACTGAAGACATAATAGATGTTGGGAGCCACTGAAGCTGGAACTTGGTCACAGGTGTGAGGGCGGGACAGGACCACAGGGCCAAGGCAGCCGAGCTCTCTCAGGCTTACTTACTCAATTTAGCCAAATTTTGTTTGTTTGCTTGAGAAAGGGTCTTGCTATTTTCCATACTGACTTCCACTCCTGGTATTTCTGCTAAAGCTTCCCAGATTGTTCATACAATAAACATTCTGCCTGGCAAATATAGTCATCAGTCCCTAGGCAATCTTGTGTTTCCTGATACTAACTTTGCAAAAGTATAGACAAACACCCCTATTGTTGTTTTTGGAGTCGTTTGCCAGTCAAGCAAACAGATCTCTGCCTGACCTCAGCTACTGTCTCTTGTCTTTATTTTTAAATCCCCTGCTGTTTTCTCACATGGACCACTGAGACACCAGAAAGTCCCTACAAATAGAGTGTAGAACTGAGAAAAATGCCTATCCTAAAACAGCAAATTTTTTAGGTGAAGTCCATGCTGGTCCCTATGAAGTGTCAACAATCTGGGAAGCTGAGGCAAAAGGATTAGGAGTTGAGATCAGTATAGGGCATAGCAAGACCCTTTCTCAAACAAGAAAGCAAATAAGTTATTAGCTTTGCACCTACCATATCCATTATCAGATGAGAAAGCTAAAATTTAAATGCCCCATTCGTGCCATGTAAGGCTAGAAATCAACTGATATTTTCAAATATACACCTTAATTAGAAGTCTATTGTGTTTCCCTATACAGGTAGCAGCTATGTTCTACATCCCTTTGCACACAGTGAGAAGGAAGCCTAGCAAGGAACTTACTCAGAGGATCTGAGCACCCAGAGCGCTGGCCCTAAGGTGGCAGCACACGCAGCGGCCTCGTCCAAAAAAGTGGGTACCATCTGTGTCGCTGAGTCTGATCTCTGACTGGCTCAGCACAGCCCTGAGGGTCTTTCCCTGACGTTACAGGGAAGAGAAGGTTTGGAATCGACACGTCAGTGCTGGGGTGCACACCTCTGCAGAGTAAGAATTTAGGAGCGTCTGTGGATCTCCCTGGTGGTTTTGTGGCTTTATATTTGGTGTAAATTGTGAGGATTTTCAGCTCTGACACGTGCAGTGAGGGGAGATTGTCACAGGACCTGGCCAGAGCATATTGTATGGGGAAGACAGCGGGGCAAAGTTTGGGCTCAGCGGGGATTCCTGCGCAGGAAGGACAGAGACTAGAAAGCATTAAGGCGAGACGACTGATCCTCCTTCCTGCTGCTCTCTGAATAGATGTGACCAGCGAGCCTGCAGTGGAGCAGAGTCCTCGATCTCGGACTGTACTTCGGGGAGAGAACTGCAGTCTTCACTGCGCTTACACCGTGAACCCCCACAACAACGTGAGGTGGTACAGACAGGACCCGGGGAGAAGCCCTGTGCCCGTGATAATCATCGCTTCCACCAAGAGCGAGAGATCGGAGGGCAGGTACACGGTGACCCTGGATGCAGCTGCCAGGCACAGCGCCCTGCGCATCACGGCCGCCCAGCTGAGCTACTCTGCCTCCTACATCTGTGTGGTAGGCGCACCGTGCTCCCCAGGCAGCTGCCGCCCGGACCCAAATCTGCACCTGGAAGGTGACAGCAGGCTCAGAGGTGGAGCAGCGTTCTAGTCTGATAGTGGATACAGTTAGCTCAAAAGCAGAAATTTTTTTTATGCTTGTTTGAAAAAGGGTCTTGCGTGCTCCCTGCTGGCCTCCACTCCTGATGCTTCTGCCTCAGCTTCCCAGAATGTGGAGACTGCAGCTGGGCTGCCTGCCTCGCTGAACTGTGAGCTGTTTATTTTCTTTCTTGTAATCAGTCTCACAAGTGATGAGATCAAGGCTTGAATGAGGTTCAAAGTTATTTTCAGACCACTGAGGCGCGCATGTGCAAGAGGCCTGGGAGAAGCTTTACGCGGAAATAACACACAGCGATGTATGGAAGGAGAGATGCACAGTCAGTGCGTAATTGTGCAATTATTTGTCAAATACTTCGTAAATGGTCTGTGTTTCTAGGAATATGGCATAAAGAAGAAAACAGACAAATACAGATACTGAAACAGTTTTGCCCGTGAAACTTGATCCTCAGCTGATCTGCAGCGTTCATTTTCTTTTACGGGAATGTCCCATGGAGTTTGTGACCCAGCACAGTGTACTTGTTCCCTGTTTCTTTTCGTAACTGACAGGTGTTATATGGTAATTAAAAATCATAGGCTGGCAATGTTGTATATGCCACTAAAGGTCCATAGATTGCATTTCTTAACCTTATAATACACATATTTGATTATAATAATATCTATTTCAGTACAAGTTTGAACAGACTGAATTAAATTAAATAATTTTAATTAAATGATTAAATGGTGTTATTAGAATTTTAAAAAATAATGATATTTCTGGACAATAGATGGAATGATGGAATGAGTTTAAGTGAAGACAAATATTAATAAATCTGAAGTGTGGAGTCAGGCTGACCTTTCTGTCCCCTGGTGTGAATTGCGTCACTGCTGCAGCCTGGTTGTGACTGAGGTCAGCCCTTACTCCACACTGGCTTGATCCTGTTCATTTGAGCTAACTGTAATGGCTTTCCTGTTTAGTTTATTATTCTCGTACATTTTATGCCCAGAATTTGATATTTTTTTTGCTTCAGGTATAATTTATTATAAGATGATACTCCATAAGCTTTGTGAACAAGGGCTCTTGTGTACATTGTCACACTGCACAGTGTAATGGACAAAAACTAGATTCATAAGTTGGAGTTGCCTCGGGTATTTCGTGCATTGGAAAAAGAAAGGAAAAGAAGGGAAAGGAGAGGCAAAGGGGATGGGTAGAGAAGGACATGGAAGGGAAGGTTAAGGGAGGGGAGGGGAGGGGAGGGAGGGAAGGGAAGCAAAGGAAAGGAAAGGAATGGAAAGGAAAGGAAGAGGTTGAAAAGGAAGGAAAGGAAAGGAAAAGGAAAAGGGAAGGAGAAGAGCTTTCTAGAAGGCATGACTTTAGTGCATGGTATAGGCTCAATGATTTTTATAAAAGAAAAAGGAGAAGATCATCCTGAGGCACATACAGTATCCAGCTGTCCGGCTCATCCACACTCGATCTTGATTTGGCTCTTTCCTGGTGGAGGTGTGACCTGAGAACAGCTAGAGAAACCTGGTTTCCAGTTCCCAGAGGAGCCACTCGGCTCCCCGCAGTAGCAGCAGTGTGGATGTGCACTTGGGGGAATGAGCTACTGAGGACTGGAGTGTGCAGGGCGTGTGAAAGATGGAGCAGCTCAGGGACATTTCATTCATGTCATTTTCTTGGAGGCTGTCCCTGAGTTGGTGATTTTCTTTGGAGCTGTCAACGGAAGTAGTAGATTTAGCAATCACCACAGGCTTAGAAGTTACAGAAAGTTGTTTAGAGGTGTATTCCCCTGGATGGGGACTGTGGAAAGGATGAATACCTGGAAAGCAGCCAGCACCAGGGCCTCTCCTGAGTGAGCTTGTGTGGTTGAGCAGGGGCAGCGGCCTGCGCGTGGTGGGGCAGAACCCTTCCTTCTCGAGTGTCCAGCAGAGAACACCTGCCACTCCTGACTGCGTTTCTCACAGCAGAATGGCCTTCAACTCCCTCCACTTCCCAGTGTCCTGGGAAAGCACTGGTGACTGACCCTCACTCTTTCCAGCCAGAAACAGAAGGTTCACCATACCTGTGAAAAGAGCTAGGGAGGAATTACTCTATAGGTTCAGCATCTGATTCTGGGCTCTGGAGCTCTCTGTCACTGGCACACTTTACTGGTCAGTGGAGTGTCACAGCAGCTGGGGGCAGTTTTTTAAAGGAAGGGTAAACTGTGAGAAAGAATCAGCCCACCTTCTGAAGCTGGGCGCTGGCCACACTGCTCTGAGACTCACAGCTGATAACTTGGGCTTGAATATGTAAAAAGCCACATAGGGAGCAGTGCCTCCATCTATAATCACGGGTGACTAGCAATTTTGTTCTTGGTTTGTATTTAAGAAAGCAGATGGGACGGAGCCATAGCACTGTGCCACTCTCCTCTTGAGCAGGCTGGCAGCAGTGGCCTGCGGTTGCACAAGCGGTGGGCAGACTTCTTACTAGGGTAAAGGGGGAGGAGGCTGGCAACCCAGGTGCCCCTCTCAGCCCTGCATCTTGTGCCCGTCTGGGGAGAGCTTAGCTGTCCCACTTCTTTCACTGAAATCTTCAGCCTTCCAAGGAGATTAATTTTAATTTAGTAAGTAATAACAGCTGAATCACCTTTTTTTTAGTTTTTGGAGCTTTTGGGAATAGCATGGTTTCCCTAATTTCTCTTTGGATAGTTCATTGTTGTCATCCCCAGCAACACACCCATATGGATGTATTATTACCAATTTTATCCCAAAG